TCTGAATTTTTTATTACATATTTCGCAAATATGAGGAAGTTCACCAGTATGGACTGATAATGCTGTCTTAAAGTACTTGACCGTGAAAATCTTTTATTGCATTTTTGCACTCATAAGGGCGTTCTCAGTATGAATCATTTGATGTTGTTGTAAGCTTTGTTTTGCTGTGAATGTTTTATTGCATGATTCACATTTATACTGTTTCAAGTTATTAGTTGTTTCACTTTTGTTATCTGAAACTTCTTCAAATGATTTGTTCGTGCTATCCACTGAATTACTTGATTCACTGATCTTTTCATCACACATATATGAATTTTTATCTGAAACTGTTTTGTTTGTACTAGTCAAGTCATCTTGGTCATCAATCGTCTCTTGTTTTATTTCCTCGTCAATTGTAACCTCAGATTCTAAAAATTGCTGCAGACATATATCATGATCCATATAAAAATCTGACATTTCATAATCATCGAATTCCTGTTTCACGTGAGGATAGTCATCGAACGGTTCGATTTTAATTGTTGTGTTTGAATTTGTTTCTTCAGACATTTTTGAGGTTAGTTTGGTTACAACAGGCTAACTGGTGATGAGTTCTTAAAAATAAGAAGTCTAAGCGTATAAAAATATATATGTTACGATTTTTACTACTTTGTTTGTTGTTTAATATGATTTAACCTAGCACTGACCTTTTAACTAAATTTATCTTCGAATTTAACTTTAATAATCCCATAAACCACTTTGACGTTTCTCCTCCATTTTGTTTTATAAACAACAGATCAAGTTGAAGTTAAACACAAATCAGCTGCGTGTTTTTCGGCGGCAAATTTGAAATCGCGACATAATTGAAAAGTGAATGTTCATATTTTTCAGTTTCAGATTATGCTGAGACTTGCAACGACAAACATATTATAATTTTTCATGGCTTTTTAGCAACGTTTTTCGGGCCAGCTGGTGTACATATATATATTTGTTCCGTTGAATCATCTCGAAGCTAATTGAACTAGTACCAGTCTCTTAGCAATGCAAACGGTTTTCCCATCTCTATGATAAATTCATTGCCACAATTTTTGTATAATGCTATCTGTACTTTTAAATTCACTACTACTTGACATCATGCTGTCTGAGCACCTGAAACATCTGATTCTACACCTATTAATAAAATTTGCAAAACATATATTGTAAAGACTAGTGAATATATTTCGTATTAACAACAAAGAAAATACATCTTTAATTATATACATATAGATTAGAATTAGTTATTACAAATAAATATATACGTGTTTTCATTAAGAAACCATAAAAAATTTGTATGCACTTGTGGGAATCAAAGAGGCTATAAAGCCGGCCACAGACGTAACTGTATAACTGCGCAACCTGCGACTTGCACATGTATTCTGTAGCGTCTGTGGCGTGTTTTTTGCGCAACTGGACAGACTGGTGCAAGCGAGTAGGCATGAGCACTTTTCGATTATTTTAATTGCGCAATCGTTCAAGTCGGCAAGTTCCTTCGTTGGCCGCGTGTGGCAGCACATGTCTCGTTTCTATTTTACTTTGTAGCGAATTCATAATACAAAATTATGAATATATCGACAATTAAAAGTTATTAAATTAGCCCTATGAACACTTTGAATTCTCTTCTGATGCTGTAAATATATAAATTAATAAAAAAAATATATTTTTAGGTTATGTTTTGACATTTATTATTTGACATTTGTGATATGCTTGCGCAAGTACTTGAACATAAACTTGAACCGTCTGTGGGCGCTGTGAAAATACGCCTGGTTGCGCATTCATTCAGTTGCACAAGTGTACAGTTACGTCTGTGGCCGGCTTAAGATTTTAAGAAAAACAATATTCATATCATGACATTTTGTATAGTTTTGATAATGATAATTTTTAATACATTTTTATAAAACATAGAAATATATTTCTGTTAATTTATATATTTCTATACGGGTAACCCACGACATCTACAATGAATATACAATAACTAATACATTTTCGAAAATATATGAAAAAATGATTAAAGAAAGATTACTAAATTTGCTCATTCAAATAAATAGATAAACATCAATATGGTTTCCTCCCTTCATCAAATACACAAGGTGCCCTAATAGATTTGTCTAATACCATCAGTCTGGTATGTGGTATCAGGTGCTCTTGAGGAAAATATGCATACTAACAGCTGCCATTTTTATTGATTTACAAAAAGCTTTCGACACAGTAGATCATGGCATATTACTCAATAAACTAATTTTGATTTTGATTTGGGTGTAGAGGGTTTGTCTTAATAATTAAAGATTTCCTCATGGAAAGGATGATAACCTGTGGAGTCCCACAAGAAACTGTATTAGGACCTTTATTACATCTATTATACACCAATCATATTATATGCAGAGGATACTGCCATAGGATAAGGATAAAAAAAGACTCGAAGATACTATAAACACGGACATAAAAATATACACCGAGTGGCTAACTGAAAATAAACTAGCAATTAACATCGATAAAACAAAATACATATATTTCAAACATAGAAAAAATACCGAGAACACTAAACTAAATATTAACGTAAATAATAGAGAAATAGAAGAAGTGGAAAGCATAAAATACTTAGGACTGATAATAAATGAAAAACTGACATGGACAGAACATATAAACAAAATAAAAAGAAACATAGGAACATTAACAGGGGCATTGAAAAGGATCCACTTTTTCGGCAAAAAAAATAAAATACTAATTCTTAAAACGCAAATAATATCTATAATTTTATATGGAATAACTTGAGAGGAAATATCATATGGAGCGCAGTAAAATATATAATGAATTGCCAAATGATATTAAGATGACCAATGATGACGATAAATTCAAAAGAAAAATAAAGAAATACTATAAGGAAATTGAAGACAAAGAAGACTGAAGAGTTATATATAAAAATATTTTAATTATAATAGATATTATATTAATGAAATAGTCAAATGATAAATGTATACATATTATATGAAAACTGTTTTTCATAATCTCTCATACCAGGCAACTCTGCCTGACTGAGATATGAAAATAATGTATATATATATATATATATATATATATATATATATAATTTAAAAAAAAATATATATATATATA